ATGAGAGGCATTCTGATTCTGTATTCCTTATATGTAATGTTAAAAGGCTAAATGAAAACATGGAATATGAAATTATAGCCGTACGTCCTGCGCTATCAGGAACTAAGTCTAGCATGCTAAGAAGATGTTTGGAAGATAATTTTTGGAAGAGCATAACAAGAACAATACGACCCTTTACACTGTCTTTTCATGCTCCGGTGATAACTGTAATCTAAAAGGCACATCTCCGATCCAAAAAGACAAACCACGTGGGCCGTTACGTTTTTGTCAACGTTGAGTGTTTCACAGGGCAATGCAGCTAACATGAGGAAGAAACAAGATTTATTATTTGACAGTTGCAGGATTTTTTAAAAGGGGAAGTCTGTGAGCTCATGAAGGGGGCAGCCTTTTGGTCATGAAGATCATCCTCATCTTAGAACTGCAAAGCCGGACGGGACCCCCAAGGATCATCAAGTCCAGCCCTGGTCATGGAGGCCCAGTGGGGGAATCGAACTCTCAACCTCGGGCTTTGCAACCAGACATCTAAACCAGAGGTCCCCAACCCCTGGTCCGAGGCCCGGTGCCGGTCCATGGCCTGAGCCAGACCGGGCCACTGAGACAGACCTCCCACACACACTCACCCCCGCACAGCCTGTTTGTGCCTGCATGCGCACTCCAGCACGCCCATGCGAGCACACAAGCACAAGCATGCCCAGACAAGCACCATGCCGTTTGCACATGAGCATGCCCCCCTGTGCGAGCACACCACTGCCATTTGCGCATGCGCAGGAGTACGCTTGCGCACTTGCACGGGCGCTCGGGAGAGTGCTTGTTTGTGCATGCGCACACGCGCGGGGGTGTGCCCTGCCTTCCCCAGCCAGTCCACAGACCGAAAAAAGGTTGGGGACCACTGAGCTGTCCAAAAGCACATGCAGGTTATGGGGCCATTTTGGGATGTTTATTTTGGGATGTTCAGAGATGCAAAAAGCAGCTCTTTTCAAGCCATTCAGGCAGCTGTGTCAGAAAATAAATTAGGCACCAGCAACTAAATTAGTCCGGATACTTACACATTAGACTACCCCAGCTTCTGTGTCGGTTTGGCTGTTCAAGAATAGTATACAAAAATGCGATAAAAGCCCACACAAGAGAAAATAGTACATAAAGGTTACATCTTCCTGTTACGGTTGTCTAAGGGACGTTTTGATTTGTTGACTGTTTGCATCTGAAGCTCTGAAACTCAGGAATTTTTTCCTTGTACCCAACCTGAAACTTTCCGTCTAATTACGTCAGCAAGCACACCTACCTTATCAAGCAGATCAACCTGTCTCTCGTGATTGCCTCGGTTGATGAATGATCCCCCAGATCGCATCACCTGGTTTGGAATCATGCCACGGGAATCATGCATCATTCCTGCCTTTTCCGGGCAGAATGACCACGAGTGGAAATGAAAGGCGAGCTGAACCAGACCAAAGGCTGAGCTAGTTTCGCACTCGGTTCCCACAGATGAGGATGGAAAACTGACTTCAGTTCGGTGGCACAGGTTGATTTGAGCAGAAGGGCACGAAGTCTGTGCATTACGAAGAGGAGGGTGAAAGAAAACTGAGTCCGCAAATTGTGAATGTGGATTTTATATGTTAAATCTAACAGTGTTTAATATTCTGGAAATAGAGTTATATAGAGCCAACATAGCATAGGTTGTTTTCGAAGTTGTAGCCGTGGTAGTCTGTGCAAGCATTTCAACTAGAAACACAAAACAAAGCAAAACAAGATGTCGTGGCACCTCAAAGACTAACTGCTATGTTTTAAGGCAAGCTTTCGTGAAACGTGTCCGCTTTGTCAGACATGAGAGTTAGAATACAGATACGACATGCTAAAACATTCATGCAAAGCTCCAAGGCTTAGGTGCATTTTATACCTGGTAATGATTTATGACCCCTGTTTGGCACTCATTTCTTTTGAAGGCTGGCCCTGTAAAAACCAGCAATGATTAAAGAAAACATCAGAAGAACAACATGTGGTAATGTAGAGAATGATTGATTTTATCTTTGAGCCTCGTTCTGAAAAGGTGTGTCTGATTTAGCTGGGAAGGAAAATAACAGTAGATGACAACTTGATTATTACATTTGGTAATGGCTTAAGAAACTTTGGCTAATATTTAATCTGCTGAAGTGGGTGTCCAGCGCATGTGTATATACTTTTAGCTGTTTCCCTCTGGATTCTTGTTCTGTAGTTTTTCTTTCCAGAATAACAACTTTCGTGTCTTGTAGAGCAGTGGTCCCCAACCTTGGGCCTCCAGATGTTCTTGGACTTCAACTCCCAGAAATCCTGGCCAGCAGAGGTGGTGGTGAAGGCTTCTGGGAGTTGTAGTCCAAGAA